ATGGATTTTTCCCTCCCTATTTTTTTTTAACATGGGACTCTGGTGGCGTAGTGCCTAAGGCATTTGACTGCTAACCAGAAGGCTGGCAGTCCAAACCCACCAGTCACTCCTGGGAAGGAAGATTGGGCAGTCTACTTCTGTAGAGGTACCACCTTGGAAGCCCAAGAAGGGGTTGCTATGAGTCGGAAACGACTCAATGGCGGTGAGTTTGTCCCCCCCCCATGTTTTAACATAGCGATGACCCAAGTGATCAACACCTAGCTCAGGAAACAGGATGTCCTGTCCCCCAGAAGCTTCCCTCAGCACCCCTCCTTACCCAAGGGTAAACTCTGCCTTGACTTCCAATAGCCTGGACTATTGGCTCCGGTACTTGTTGTGACTTTAGCATTTCAGTGATGAATGAATCCTCATGTGTCTTCTGGTTTGTACTGTTGTGCTTTTCCTCTTCCTTTGTGCAGTGAGTCTTTATTGAACACCGCTTACAGGCCAGGGAGTCTCAGGGTGGAGCAGACAGATAAGGTGCTTGGCTATTAACTGAAAGGTCGCCAGTTCAAGTCCGTGCAGACCTGCCTCAGAAGAAGGGCGTGGTGACCTCTTTCTGAAAAATCTAGTCCTTGGAAACCATGTGGAGTGCAGAGACAGTCCTGCTCTGACACATGTGGTGTCGCCACGAGTCAGAATCAACTCAACGGCACCTGGTTTGGTTTTTGATACCATCTGCCGTGCTGTGTTCGAGGCCCTCATGCTACCAGAAAAACCGCCTCCTTTTTGTTCTCAAGCACTTCATAGTTTGATACAAGTTTAATGTGGCTTCTGAATGAGATTGGAAGAAGCAGTGGACAGTTACTTGTGTTTCCCCTGAGACCAGAAAAGGCAGTTTAGGGGAACAGGCACAGAATTCGGGCGGCGGGGGAAGGGATGTTGAAAGGGCTCGTCAGCCTCAGTCTCAGAGATTTGCAGCAGTAAGAAGCCTTTCATTTCTCAGGCTTTTTTTTTTTTTTTTTTTAATGAAGTATTTTTGTGGTCCTTCTCCTTTTGTTCTCACAACATTGAAGGAGGACACTGAATGGAGTTGAGTCTCAGGTGAACGTCTTGCCGGAGGTCATACACCCTTGGGGAGATCCTCTCATGGGAGGTAGAGAGGGGATGGCAAATTGGGATCTTGAAGATGCAGGTGAAGGATTCAAACCTTTCGTGGGAAATGCACTGTGGAGTTGAATAAACACGTCTTCACTTTGTCTGAATGCATCTCTGCGTGGTGGTGTGGGAGGAGTGGCCCCATGCCGCTGGCTGGCATGCCCTTCGGCGGGTTTGTTTCACAGTGAGTATGAGGGCGGTGCATCAACCGTTTCCTTAGTTGGTCTCAGGTCCCCACCCCCCTGCTTCTTACCGAGTGGACATCTCAACACACTGACGAAATGCAAGCTATTTCCTTCTGATGTCCAACTAAAGAAACAGCCCTCGAAAGTAACCTTCATTACTTTAGATTTCTCCTCTGTGTTGCCGTTGGAGTCTCACTGCTGCCTCGGGGTTATCCCATTGTTGTAAGAACTCAGTTGGAACTCAGAAAAATGAAAAAGCTTGCCAAGCATTGCTGAAGGTCCAGCTGAGTTGGCTGGCGTCAGTTTGTAGAGGATGCAGTTGCCTTGGTAACATAGTGCTCTGTGAGGCTGAGGAATCACTGGAGTGATGATGGATGGCCCATGGAAAGGGACGGGGAGGACTGGGGTCTTGGCGTAGCTGGTG